CTCAGTCTCAGTGAGTTTGCGTTTCATCAGCTAAACTGTTTGCCCCTCATATTGTCTTCCAGGGGCAATGAACGACTATGAGGTTATCAGACAGATTGGGCAGGGTGCATTTGGAAAAGCCTTCCTGGTCAAAGACAAAGGGGGAGGTGGAAACACACAGTGTGTGGTCAAAGAGATCAGCCTCAGGAAGGTACAGCAGCATAGCTCAGTTTCACTACCTGCAGAGCTGCCTGGGATCAGGAAAACGATCACACTATATCGCTCTCTGTGACTTACACATGCATTCAAGCAGCTTTGTAATATCTCAGCTTTGTAATGTACGCTTCAAGCATAAATTAAGCTCATCTAATATACAGGTACCAGCTTCATTTGTAGTAGAATCAGGTTATGGTAAAACAACTCGTATTCTGCAGTCAGTATAGTCTAAGACAAGTCTTAAATAAGCTGTCTTTCTCACTGTGTACATTAGATTATGTCTTTTGTATGTCACTACAGCCCTTGAGACATTCTGTGTGTTGTGTTAAGTGTTATTTGTTACAAGAGTAACTTCAGTAAATATACTTACATTGAAAAGCACTGATGATGAATGGTTAGTTGCAGCCCAGATAAAACCATTAAAGCTCAAGTGATCAATTCTAAACTATATTTAGTGCTTATTTAGAAGTGTTTTTCCCAAGAACACGTTACTCCTTTTATTTTTGTGTGTTTTGCTGCTCAGATGTCAGCAAAGGAAAAGGAATCGTCCAATAAAGAGGTGACATTGCTGTCAAAGATGAAACATCCAAACATTGTCACCTTCATCCGGTCCTTTCAAGGTATGTGTGGGCTTCAGAGTAGAAGATGTAATGTATCAGTTTATATCAGTGTTAAAGTGTTTTCTGGATGTCTGTATAGAGAGAGGCAGCCTTTATATAGTGATGGAGTACTGTGATGGAGGAGATCTGATGAAGAAAATCAACATACAGAGAGGAGTTCCTTTCACTGAGGAGCAGGTATACCTCACCCTGGCCTTAGCTATTTGATAAAGGCTGATCAGATTTTCCTCACTGTGATAGTTTTGCACTGAAATATGTTCACAAACACACTGAAGGACATTCAGTCTCTGTTATTACTGCACGCAAGTAATAACAGTACAAACACACATCTATCAGACATAACATTATGACCACTGAGAGGTGAAGTGAATAAGACTGATTATCTCTTCATCATGACACCTGTTTGTGGCTGGGATATATTAGGGAGCAAGAGCCCTCAAGGTGTAAGGTTTGGAGAAAAATTGTCATGGCTAGATGACTGGGTTAGAGCATCTTCAAAATTGCAGCTCTTGTGGGGTGTTCCTGGTCTGCAGTGGTCAGTACCTAATCAACAGTGGTTCAAGGAAGGGACAGTGGTGAACCAGCTACAAGGTTATGGATGCGTGTGAAGAGCGAAGGCTGGGCTGTGTGGTCCAATCCAGCAGACAAGCTACTGTAGCTCAGATTGCTTAATGTTAATGCTGGTTATATACAGTGGCTTGCAAAAGTGTTCGGCCCCCTTGAACTTTTCCACATTTTGTCACATTACAGCAACAAACATGAATCAATTTTATTGGAATTCCACATGAAAGACCAACACAAAGTGGTGTACACGTGAGAAGTGGAACGAAAATCATACATGATTCCAAACATTTTTTACAAATAAATAACTGAAAAGGGGGGTGTGCGTAATTTTTCAGCCCCCTTTGGTCTGAGTGCAGTCAGTTGCTCATAAACATTGCCTGATGAGTGCTAATGACTAAATAGAGTGCACCTGTGTGTAATCTAATGTCAGTACAAATACAGCTGCTCTGTGACGGCCTCAGAGATTGTCAAAGAGAATATTGGGAGCAACAACACCATGAAGTCAAAAGAACACACCAGACAGGTCAGGGATAAAGTTATTGAGAAATTTAAAGCAGGCTTAGGCTACAAAAAGATTTCCCAAGCCTTGAACATCCCACGGAGCACTGTTCAAGCCATCATCCAGAAATGGAAGGGGTATGGCACAACTGTAAACCTACCAAGACAAGGCCGTCCACCTAAACTCACAGGCCGAACAAGGAGAGCGCTAATCAGAAATGCAGCCAAGAGGCCCATGGTGACTCTGGACGAGCTGCAGAGATCTACAGCTCAGGTGGAGGAATCTGTCCATAGGACAACTATTAGTCGTGCACTGCACAAAGTTGGCCTTTATGGTGGGAAGAAGAAAGCCATTGTTAACAGAAAACCATAAGAAGTCCTGTTTGCAGTTTGCCACAAGCCATGTGGGGGACACAGCAAACATGTGGAAGAAGGTGCTCTGGTCAGATGAGACCAAAATGGAACTTTTTGGCCAAAATGCAAAACGC